TAAAAACAAACAAACAAACAAACAAACCTAATTATAAAATGAGTGGTAAAATTCTCTATTTTCCCTCAAAATGTCTCCATTAAAAAATTTTTGTTTTGTTTTGTTTTGCTCATCACTCTGGGATCAAGACAATAGATTCTGTAATCAGATAGACCAAGATTCAAATCCCAGCCTTGCCATTTACTATCATGTCACTTAATTTATCAAAGTCCCAAATTTGTACCTATAAAATATTGATAAATTGAGATGATGATGATAATAATAATAATAGCTATCTCCCAGTATTTTATTAGGAGTAAATGAGTTGAAGTATACAGTATAAAGTGGTTAGTACATAAAAAGTACTCCGTAAACAAAAGCTATTATTATTATACTCTTATCAGAATACTTATTACATTATTTATGTTCATATGGAACTGAGCTTCTTGAGAGAATACTCCAGATATTCAACTGTGTGCCCATAAAGCAATTAATTTTTCTGTTTTTCTTTGGCTAAGCAAAGAAAAAAAAGGAAAGTCACAGATGTCTGCTGACTCATGAGCTGGAAATTCTAATTCTGCTACTTTACGAATATATGGATTTTTGACAATTACTCTGTAACATTAATTTATAAGTAAGTAAAAAATAAAAAAAAAACAGGATTACAGGAGAATACTAATGATCAGCATGTGATTGAAATTGTTAGTTGATTCAAAAAATACCAAGAAACTGTGTTAAGGATCTATAAAAGAGAAAGATTAATTATAACAACCAGGGGGGTAGATTATTTCTCTATTCTCAAACATTCATTGAGAGTTGGGATTGTTTACTACTTTACACTTATTAATTATCTTAAAGAACATCACGAACACAAAATTGGATTAATCATAAGATTTGTTCATGAAGTACTACAATCATAAAGCACTATAATCATTATCCAAATGTAGATCACATTTATGTTACTTATGTTACTTATGTGCTGGTGATTTATTTAATGATTTAACAAATACCTGAGAATCCTTCACTTACCCTAAGAACAAAAGCATTATGAATAATCAACATGGTCCTATTAAGAGATCTACTAGAAAAGCACATACTTTTATCAGGGTCTTTCAAGACTTGTCAAGTTTACTGTTTTGTTACTGAGGAAACAGCCACACATCCTATTTTGTTGGAGATGGGATCTTGGTGGTGGTTTTGTGGAAAGTGAAATGGAACAAACTAGATAAAATAGTCTCACTAGCTAGCTCATCTTAACTTATTTTGGGTCAAAGGTAACCCACTTATTTGACTATCTGTTTTATTTCTTGTTTTACTGCTTCAGGTCCATTCTCCAGCTCACTCTGCCTTAAAACTCTGACTGCTCTGGTTTGTATTAGTGGTCTTCCTTATGCTCCAGGTGCTGTTTGGGGGAAGCCAATGGAATCATCAGCAGGAGGCTGGGAAATAGGAGGAGAATGAGCTCAGCGTTCCCTCCTTGACAGGTGGCCTTCAGTTGGCTGCATCTTCCCCCAATGGCCAATATATAGAATATTGTCATTTACTCCATAGCCAGAGGCTGATGCCTAGGATCCAAGAGGTGGACGTAGGAGAAGCCATTCTCTTCTATGCCAATTGACCGAACCCCTGAAGGAATTTGTTTCTGTTTTTCCCCAGGACTTGGATCCATAGTCTTGGAAATCCTAGTGCCAAGGAAGACATACAAGCCCCATAAGCTACCTTGAGCATCTAAAGCATTAACATTTTCCTTAGTTTAGCATACTGGATCAGTAAGAATCAGGAGAAAAAAACCAAGATTTTGTTTTTTAAGGGTAGCAAAAGTTGTTAGAGAAAATAAAAAGTGATCAAACAGATCTTTCTAACTAGCAAATGTTACATGTTGTCTCTCAGTGCTCAATAATATGCAGAGATATTTTTAGTATTATAAAGCATGTGAATTCTTTTTAAAAATAAATTTTTTAAATAAAATTCAAAAGTAATAAGTATTTTCTATTAGACAATTTATAAAGTACAGAAATGACACAGGAAAAAACATTGATGATCGCAATGTCTAGAGACGGCCACTCCAAAATCTGTACCCTTTCTTTGTCCCAGGCTGCTTCTGCTGAACCATTCACAGGAGCGAAAACAAAGAGCACTCAAGACAAAACAGTTAACGGGGGTTTCCAGCTGGGTCTGGCAATTTCTAGAATTGTGATGTTTATAAGATGCCTCCTAAGTAACAGACATTACTTTTTGCACAGTAGTAGTATGAGTGTGCAGTTGGGCAATAGATGATATGCTATATGAAAATATTGTTTTTGCAGATTTTCTTAGATCTTACTCAGCTTTCATTAGATAATATAGTGTTGGTTCTATTGCTCAGAGTCATTGTGTCTCACCCACCTCAAGTATAAAAGAAAATAAGTTGAGCCAAAATCATCAGAACATTTAGGGCATCCATCTATACAAAAGCCCCGACCCATGAGTTAATGTGAGTACTTCAATAATAATCGAAATATCAATCTCAATTCAGCAGATATTAATTGAGCCCCTACTACATTCTAATAAGATGCTTTCAGTGTTTCTGTGAATCAGAAATTTAAACAACCATTCAATTGACAAATGTTTACTTAGGACAGAGCTGGTTTGTCTCTGGCTGGTTTGCCTTTGGTGTAGCCAATATGTCCCTGGTGAAGATCACCTTAGGCAAGAGGAAAGGGGTACAAGGACTAAATGACCCCAAAAACGGACTCATTTTCCCCCACAATAGTTGTTTACATCATGCATAAGGCCAGTGTCCTCTCCAGCTGTGTGTCAGTCTGAGGTCCCATGGAGCCATGATTGAAAACTTATTTTAAATAAATTTGGGATGAACTCTCATGAGAGTTTCTTCATATTTATTCTATCTATTAATTATAATAGTCAGACACACTATGATAGATATGGTGATAAGCCCTGGATATACAAAGCTCTGTGTATATGTGTGTGTATGTGTGTGTGTGTGTGTGTGTGTGTGTGTGTGTGTGTGTGTGTGTATGTGTGTTCCTGTATATACAATCACACCACGTGACAACATTTCAGTCAAAGACAGTGATCCCATAAGATTATAATGGAGCTGCCCTACACAGGAGTACCATTTTTTATTTATTTATTTATTTTTTTTCTGAGACAGAGTCTCGCTCTGTTGCCCAGGCTAGAGTGCTATGGCATCAGTCTAGCTCACAGCAACCTCAAACTCCTGGGCTCAAGCGATCCTCCTGCCTCAGCCTCCCAAGTAGCTGGGACTACAGGCATGTGTCACCATGCCCGGCTAATTTTTTCTATATATTTTTAGTTGTCTGATTAATTTCTTTCTATTTTTAGTAGAGACGGGGTCTCGCTCTTGCTCAGTCTGGTTTCGAACTCCTGAGCTCAAACAATCTGCCCGCCTCGGCCTCCCAGAGAGCTAGGATTACAGGTGTGAGCCACCGCACCCAGCTTCCATTTTTTATTTTTTATATCTTATTTTTACTTTACCTTTTCTACGTTTAGGTATGTTTAGAAACACAAATACTTGTTGTGATGTTACAATTGCTTACAGTATTCAGTACAGTCACATGCTGTACAGCTGTGTAGTCTAGGAGGAACAGGCTGTACCATAGAGCCTAGGTGTGTAGTAGGCCATTCCATCTAGATTTGTGTAATACACTCTGTGATGTTTGTACAACAAAATAGCCTAGAACATATCCCTATTGTTAAACAACTCATGACTGTATATGTGTCCTAGTTGTTATTTTGTTTGTTTTGTCAGTTTTGTTTTTTATCAGCTAATACTGGGCTGTCACAATATGCCAAGCACCGGGCCAAACTCTTTACACATATCATTTCAAGAGCTCTCACAACCACCCTTTATATAACCACAGGACTTTTGTTTCACAGGCGAGAAAACAGAGCTAGAGAAGCTCATGGCCTTGCCACAGGGATCTTCTGTGCTAAAGCCCAGGTCAGACCTGGGTCCCCTCCGATGGGAGAGGCCAGGGTCTTGGCCACTGTGTATGTCACATGCACAGCTAGACAATTATTGAGCTGTTGAAGGACCAAAGTATAAGAACTATTTGAGAAGATGAGACTAAGAATCATTCATCCCTCAACTCTTTACCAGTGGAAATCTACTTTTACTGTTTTATATATGTAACATTATATTTTAAGAAAGAATTTCATGGCAAAAAAATAAATAAATAAAGCAACAACAACAACAAATTGTAAATCATGACTTGAGCTAGATGTAACCAAAATCCACAAGCGATTTATAACCATGAGATGTATATAGGAGGACTGTCATTTTAGTGGCATATGGCAGCCCAGTAGCAGAACGTGTCCCAACAGAAGAGCACAGGAGCCTTGTAATTTCTGTTGTGCGTAATGCCTGGCTCAGAGTAGACTATCAAAAACATACTGTTGAATGAATGGAATCTTAAGCCAGAAAATGAACTATTCCTCAAACGCCAATCCAAAGTAGACTTGGACATGGACTCGATTAGAAGTGTGTATAAGTTTTGTACATAATCAAACATCACCACTCCAAGGCATGCATGAGATATATTAGTCATTGTACCCTTCCCTGCTTGTGGTTAGATCATGCTGTGTTTGTTACATTTTAGCCCCTAAGAAATGAATCCCATCTATTCTAATACCCATTTTTAAATCAAGGGAGATAGAGAGATCAAGATATCTAATGGGATGCAAATTAACTGAATCAGACACACCAAAAATTTGTAAATATCTTGGCAGAAAAAAAATACATTGAGAGAGGGAGGTTGACCCAGACAAAGAAACATGGGTGATCTAGAAAAACTGTTGGAGAGAGATCAGATTCCTCAAAAGATGAGGCTTATCACGTATATGCAAGAGCTGTCCGGAAAGTATCCAGCCATTGTGAATATAACAAGAACATATTACAAGGCTGGGCACTCTCCAGACAGCATTTGTATACTTATGCAAAGCCTCCTCTTGGAGAAAACATAGAATTTGACAACTCCACATAGTCAGCAGATGAACACCTATCCTGAAGACTGTATAAAAGCGCACTGGTGGTAACTGTGGTTTCCCAATTCATAATAATGAATAAAGAACCGATGAACATTTGTTGAATGACATGGCTCTAATTGTGTGACACTGTGCAACTCCCAGGAGGCACAATAGTAGATGGCTGAGTCTTGTTTCTCTACATTGTGAATGGTGAGGGTAGATGTGGAAGCTTCGGGTAACCTGTCCACCTCAAATTTGTTTGACGCAATGCCTGGTGCCATTCTGACAGTGTCGTTAGATAACACGTATGCCAGGAGCTGTATGACTTCATCAGGTCTTTCTTGATACCAATATATGGACTTTGCAGAAATTGTTCCTTCAGACACCACACATTCCAGGCGGGCTGTTTTTGACAGTGTTTTAGTGCTGGAAAGTTGCGGTTGCTCTAAGTGAACTGCACCACACACACACACTGGAAGAAAAAAGAGGGGAGAGTAAATAAACTGAAAACTTGGAACTAAAAAAATTATAATATTAAAGAATATCAGTCAAAAGTAACCGGGGGAGGAAAACAACTCACAAGCCCCAAGGACTGCCAGAGCTGACGCTTGGAGCAGTGACGGCATGTCTGCAGCGACTGCGCTGTCCTCCAGGGCAGCCAGCAGTCACCCCCAAGAAGCATTAGACCACTGTGGTGTGGCTCAGTCCACCAAGTCAAACTTCCCCTGGGTGGGGGTGAAGGGGACCTCCCGCCTCACTGTGAAGGGCTGTCCTCACCACCTGTTAGCACAGCCACGCTGTGTGAAGACAGTCCTGCTAAGTTTGCCACCTCAGATCAGACCACAGAGTATAGATGGCCCCCTTAGAACTCTGAGATGATTCATTTATCCAACAGTATTCATTAGGCTCCCACTATGTACAAAGCATTGTGCTAAGTTCTTTGGGAACAAAGATGCAACGATATGGCATCCAGCCAAAGAGAGCTGTCTAATGGGGAGATGGTGTGATGTAAGCCATGGTCTTGCTCTTCTCTCTTTTCATCCACGACCTTTCACAGAGGAAATCCTCAATAGCCCCAGTGAGCTGTCAGGCCAGCATGGCTGGTGGTCGGGGCTGTGTTATGCACCATTGGTCCACAGAGCGCTTGTCTTCAACCAGCTGGAGAGACACTGGCCCATCAATCCACTTACCTCTGCTCAGCTGCAGCGTGGGGTCTTACTGGCCACCTTCACGGGTCTGAACACTCTGCCCAGTCTGTTTCTGGTTAAGCTCAGATTTACATCCTCTCCCTCAGCTACCCGAAAATGTGTCTCTGCTAAATCCCAGCTTCTTATGAGAAAGCACAATACACATATATCACTAGCCCAGGAAAAAATCAAAATTCAACATTCAAAGTATGTTTTCTACTGAATGCTTATTATCATTTTCACACCATCATAAAGTCAAAAATCATAAGTTGGGGACTGTCTGTGTACGTATCGAGCTGACTACTGGCCATCTTCAGGTGTGTCTGACCCAGGACCTTGAACTCAATTTGCACACAGCCAGCGTGAGCTCATTCCCTCTCCAGATCCATTTCTTCTTCCTGGTTCCATGAATGACCTTAACTATCCACTTTGCCCAAGCCAGGAACCTGGGCATCCATCGGCCTCGATTCTTCTCCCCTCTAACTACTTCATCACACTCCAATTCCTGTGGATTCTGCCACCTAAATATCTCTGGGCTCACCCCTGCATCCACCTCCCTCATCTCCAGGCCTCCAATCATGGCCCCGTGCCATCCACCTTCCTGTGATGGCTACACTGATCTGGTCAAGGCATTTCCCTGCTCGAAATCCTTCTCCCTGCTCTGCCCTGCTTCTGAGGATGAAGTCCAGCATTCTCTCCATGATGTGGCCACCGCCTCCCTGCCTTTCCACCTTCAGCCACTCTCTACCTAGCATTCAGTGATCCACTTTTACAGATCAACCTGCAGGTTTCTGTGTCTGTACAGGGAAAAGTGTCCCACGTTTCCTAGCTAACTCCTGTTCATCGTTTTGGGCTCAGCTCAGCCACTGTCCATCTCCTCCAGGAAGCTTCCCTCACCCAGGCAGTCTGGGATAGCGGTGGTGCCTCCAGTTGCCTCTCTCGTGGCGCCCCCTAGTGTCTCCCTCTCTCCTAGCACCTCCTACCCAGCCTTGGCCTGTTGACTCAGTGCTCTCTCTTAATGGACTTCCCTGAGAGTTTCCAGGGGAGTGAGAGGAGGTGTTATTTATCTTTCTATTCCCAGGTGTTTGTTGACAAGAGTGAAGGAACGAGTGAGTGGATGAATGGCCATTGTAGTATTTCCTTTCCTTCTGTCAATGAGACACCACCATTTCAAACAAATTTTTAAAAAGAGTTACCAGGTAATGGACACTTACTGAATGTCTTCAATGTGCCAAGCACTTTGTAGCCATTATTACATTTACGTCCATAAATTTGGTATAAACCCTATCAGTGCCCTACTGGAAGCAGATAAGGAAATGACTCAACATTTCACAGCTTGTCAGTGAAAGATTTGAGATTGGTTCTACCCTGCTTGTGAGGATAAAGTCCTCAGAAGGTCTTTGAAAACCTCTCTCTGCTTCTGTTTTCTCATCTGTCGAATTAGAATAAATTCAAGACCTACCTTACTGGGTGTTTGTGAAGAATAAATAAGTTAGCCCAGGTAGAGTATTTAGAACAGCGCCCAAGGCACCATGAGCCCTGAAAAATGGTGGTGATGACTGTTCTGCTGCCTTCTGTGAACATGCCCAAGTCACCAGTGGCAATGCACCAGCCATGCTCTCGTCCTGTTGAGCACCTGCTTTAGAGACAGACTAGCTGGACAGCTGTCCAAAGCAAGTGATGATGTAAGTGAAAGAACTTGGGGCCATTTCTTAGTAATAAAAATTGAAGAGGCTGGTGATGATTCCCCTGAAGGTGAGATCGAGAAAGATAGACTCTTGTGTCTAACTATTTCCCCTGAGGTAACTTCATGCAGGAAAGAGCTAGTTGTTCACTCCCAAGGTTAAAACTGAAATCAAGTAGTATAATTCAGAGAGAGATAAATTTTGGGCTCTGTTGTTTTCTCTGTGTTGGAGATGAGAAAACTGGTGGCTTGGAGGGTTAAGTCCTCACTCAAGATCACAGAGCTTGTAAAGAGTAGAGCAGGAGTGAGTGAGGAGTGAATATGGGGGGTTATGCTGTGAAGGTTCACTGTGGTGCCAGAGTCTCCTCTTGGGGAAAGAGAAAGACATTGTTCTGTATGGAGGGAATGAAGAGCTTGTTCCTCCTGTTGGTCACAGCCCGATGATCACCAGTTCACAGGATTCACTCTTCTCTGGAGTCAGGCACTAGAGGAGGCAGGAAGCAGAAAGGGCCCCTCCTCCCCAAGCCCATTCGGTTTTAGTAATATCGGCGCAATGGGGAAGGAACAACCCAAAGGCAGAAGGAAGGTAAATTTCAGCCCCTCTACTCCCGTTCTCCTTCTCACACAGGCTGGGAGGTCTTAGCCTTGACCTAACCCCTGCAGTAGGGGATGGGGATGTTGGGCTCTTTCAGAAGCAAGGAGTGTCTTAATTATGAACATCTAGCACGAAAGCAGAAGCTGAAGGAGACAGACCAAGAGTGAAGGGATCTGAGGGACTGATTTCCTTTGGAATCATTTGGACTCTACATTCCTTAATTACTTTTATTGACACCATCAGGTCATACATAAATTTTGAATCTTCCGTTGAAAAGTGCTTACATTTAGCTTAGACTTCAAAGTTGTTTTTTTTTTTTTTTTCCTTCTGCACATAGAGCAGCATAGTGGTTTCCTGTTTGGTGCTGGGGGATCAGTAACACAGATGATTTTTTTTTTTTTCATTTCTTTTTCTATTAAAGAAGGTGACTGTTTTATACAAAGGTAGAAGACATAGTGATAGCTTATTTGTATGACTTTGCTTTAATACAGAATAACAGTCATATAATTTAGCAACCATTTGGTTAACCTCACCCCCATTTTTCAGATAAGGGAACAGAGGTCCAGAGAAGCTGGGACACCCCCAAAGCCCACACTGGGGGAGTGTCCGAAACGAAGTGGAAGACAAAGGCCCAATGTCCCGTGTAGGGTTGATTGCATCACCCTGCCATGACGGTAATCTACAACATCAATTCCTGTGCCAGCCCTGCCACTGGACAAGGTACGACAAGCAGGCAATGTTGTTCCCTGTGCTCCAGTTGCTGACTCTATTGCAGAATGATGACAGTTCCAGAGGCAAGAACTTTGAAGCTGGAAATGAGAGTTGGCCTCCAGTCTCAGCTTTTCAACCGTTTTGTGGTAAATCTCCAGAGAGTCCTTCTCCCTTGAAATGTTTTGCAAAATATTTTATTTGTGCATTCTTCAGGGGAAATGGTCCAATTCTTACATTATCAGTCTCTAACGGTGCTATCCAATAGAAATAAATGTGAGTTACCAATGTGAGCCACAAATTTAAAACTTTCTAGTTGCTATATTCAAAAAATAAAGAGAAATAGGTAAAGTTGGTGTTAATACTGTTGTTATTTAGTCCAAGATAACCAAAATGTAATCATTTCAACATGCAATCAATATAAAAGTTATGAATGAGTTATTTCACTTTTTTATATTGTCTTCAAAATGTGGTTTCAGTCATACAGTCCATCTCAGCTTGGACTACTGCACTAGGTACAGCCCAAGTGCTCAATAGCTACATGCAGCTGGTGACCCTGGGTTGAGCAGGACATGTCATCCTCCAAATCTTTAAACAGGTCCCTTCGGAGGAGAGAGGCCGCTGGGTCTGAGCCAGGTTGAGAGGTGGCCCCACGTGTGTGAGACCAGGATGCTGAGGGACCGGGGATAGGGCTTTTCTGCTTCCATGCCCCAGGGACACCCAAGTGACCAAGAGCCAGCAAAAATGCCCAAGGCCTGGGTGGATAAGGAGTAAGAGTCCTGTGCAGGCCCCAGGCAATGCCATAGGACACACCCTCGTCTCACGTCTGCAGCTTTGGCACCTACAGGGTACAGCTGCTGCCATTCTTGGCCTCCATGGCTATATTTTTATCCGCTTTCAGGACACAATCCCATTGCACATCCGGCTTGAACAGGACCAGCAGCGGGTAGCCTCCCGGGACCTGGTCCTCCTGCTGCCGATACCAGTGGATGCAGCTGACCTTGGTGCAGACCAAGCACTGCGGGGTGACCGAGCTTCCCTTGCGCCCCAGCATGTGGCTGGCTGCTCCGGTGCTGAGCCACTGCCCAGCAGTGCTGGAGACAGTGAGAGGAGGGGCGGCCCAAAGCCTCGCAGCCCCTCCACAGGTTCTTGGGATGGAGACTTAGGTGGCAATGGAGGGATCAAAGGAGGCCAACGTGGCCCAGCATGGCTCTGCGTCCTCAGCAAGGGGAGAGGAGTCCAGGGTAACCTGTTTTAAACTATTGGGATGAGCCACACCTTCGTGGGCAGTAGAGACCAGGTTAGGGCCTGAATGCCGCGTCCCTAATGGTGCAAGAAGGTGACTGCTGAGAGAAGTGGGGAATGGAGGAAGGGGCACCAGAGAGAGGATAGATGAAAATCTGACCACAAGGTGAAGGGAGGGATGGTAAATAGGTAGAGTTCTGAGTAAGG